AACTATTTTACTTTTATTCAAGTTTTATAAATCCATCAACATTTTCAATTGGCATTTAATTTGTAAAACTCCACTATAAAAATAATCTATGTAAAATTGTAAATGTATATGTACTAATATGGAAAAAATAAAGGATTTTCAGTATTATATGCATATTATTTGGAATGCACTTTTTGAGGCAGACAATCTTGGAAAGGAGGGGGGGAATGACATTCTGACATATGGTGAAAGGGGTGCATGGGGCAAACAAGGTTGAGAACCACTGCTCTAGTCAGCCTAGGCACAGCTGTCTTAAGTTAAGTAGTATACCCTCTCTCTGGTGTTTTGGGAGTTGGCATTTGACAATTGAGATTCGTTTTGCTTGATATGAATTTTGTGTGATCTTGTTGGACCTTCAGTTCTTACTTAGCCACTTACTTAGCCACTTGACGTATTATTATTGTTATTTGTGTTATTTTACGTACATATGTGGTGGTGGGAATAAGTTAATAAATGTTCATATTTTTATTGACTAGTTTAGGTTTTTTCCTGTTAACTTGACCTTTGTTGGGAGAGCTTGGGATTAAGAATTTAATAAATACTGATATATTTGAAAGACTTAAGTGATTTGTATTTAAGTGACGATCTACACTAGGGTAGTAACCTGGACAATGATTGCTGGGATTGTCTACTGTCCGGTGCTTGTAAAAAGTGATCCATAGTAACTATTCATTGTTCAGGATGGTGGTGGAAAATGTTCACTGATACCTGCTCACTGTCCTGGGTGGTGATAGAAAGTGATTGTTGGTAATTGTTCACTGTCCCGGATGTGAACCAACAAATTAACATCATCTCTATATATATTTACTCACATTCTGTGTTGGTGAGAATATCCTGGTGACCCAAGGCTGGCAGATGTGTGTCGTCTTTCAGGTGTTCGGTGAGGTAAACATCAATGTAGTCCCGAGGGTTATCAGTATCCAGCGTCTTGCAGTGGTCGTCTATTATGTCCTGTACCAGACACCAGAGGGACATTTTATAACTAAGATTAGTAAAGAGAGAAACATTTTATAACTAAGATTGGTATCGAGAAGAACACTACAACTGAGATTGGAAATGAGAAGAACACTAACTGAGATTGGTAACGAAAAGAACACTAACTGAGATTGGTAACGAGAACACTTTATGGCTGAGTTTGGTAACGAGAAGAACACTTTATACCTGAGATTGGTAACAAGGACACTTTATAACTGAGTTTGGTAATTTTCCAGCGTAAATAAAATGGTTAATTAATGCCTTCCTAAAGAAACCATCGACATGGGACCAGGTTTGTTCCACTCGACGAATTTTTTGCGAATTTTCCACCAAGTTTGATGAAAAGCGATTGTGCCGTTTCGGCTGCCCAGAACAGACACACACACACACACACACACACACACACACATACACACACGCCTAATCCTAAAGTATATTAGATATTAGATTGATGGGTGTCTTAAGTTGTTTCTCTGATTATTCCGGAACTGTAAAAAATTATTGTCAATCAAGGGATTGACAAATTTGTAAACAAATAGGGCACAGCAATAGGCATTAATATCATCGAATTTTAACATTTTCAATTTAGCAAATTGTTCATTAGTGCGATCATTTTTTTCAAGTAGGTCATTGTCCACACAACTCTCTTCTGTGCAGCATTCAGGGGATGTATTTTTGAAGAGCCAGAGGCTCCCATAGTGTGTGACAGTGTACCAAGTGTTGGTAAATAAGATCATAATAGATATCTTTCATTGCTGCAAGAGTGAGTGACTGACGAGTGTGATACAGGATACCGCACTGTTTATTGAATTTACTGTGAATGGCTTGTATGTGGTTTCTCCAGCTAAGTTTCTCATCAACAACAACCCCAAGGAATTTAGTATTATGTTCACGTTTGAGGACTGTATTACCAGGGTACAGGGGGTTCAAATCTGGGGGTAGATTTTTCCTTCTGTGAAAGATTGTGTGGTTGGTTTTTTCTAAGTTTATTACGTATTACCCAGGTCCTGACTTTGGTCAATTCAATGTTCATAGATCTCATCAAGGAATGGAGGTCTGAGTTGCTGGCATAGAGATTACTATCGTCTGCGAATAAATTGTATTTGACGAGTGTGTTGGAGTGGACTATACCGTTTATGTACAACAAGAACAGTACAGGACCGAGAATGGAACCTTGAGGGACGCCACACAAAACTGGTGAAGAGTCAGATTGGTGATTATTGTAGCAGACATACTGTTTCCCATTAGACAGATATGAGGTAAACCAATTGTGGGATCAGCCCCTAACGCCGTAATGTTCAAGCTTTGCCAGGAGGATGGTATGGTCGACAGTATCAAGGGCTATAGAGAGGTCCAGGAATATTCTGACTGTGAACTGACTGCCATCAAAGGAGTTTAAAATGTCATTATAAAGGATAGCAGAGCACTCTCAGTTGACCTTCTAGCTTTAAATCCAAACTGAGAGTCTGTAAGAATGTTATTGACACTGCAGAAAGAATTCAGTCTACTACATGCTAGCTTCTCCAGTAACTCACTTAAGGCTGGGAGGAGTGATACGGGTCGGTAATTCTTGGAAAGACCTTTATCCTCTGGTTTTTTTTTATATCATGGGTGAACTTTGGCGGTTTTCAGTTTATTCAGAAAGATACCACTAGTGACGGAGGAGTTGCAAATGTGTAGAACAAGTAGTAATAAGTGGGCTACTTTATTAATGATGCTTATTAGTATATTGTCATCGCCTGCTGCTGCATCTTTGGACATTTTTATGATGGTCAGCAATTCATCTGCTGTGACAGGGGATAAGAACAGCTCATTTTGCTGTCTGTTTTGCAGGTAGGCTCTATATTCCCCATGGTGATTAGGGATGCTCTCTGCAAGATTTTTTCCAACATTGATAAAAATAATTATTGAAGTGGTTGGTAATCAGAGAGAGTTCCGTTACAACTGTATCATTTATCATGAAAGCCGAGTGGGTGGCCGTGTGTTGAGTGTTCCTGTTCTGAATAGAAATGATGATACTCCAGGTTTTCTCACTGTTGCCTGATGTTGACTGGAGCTTACAAGTATATGTATAACAGCTACGCCTGGCATTTCTAACTGCTGGAGTTACTCTATTTCTGTTGCTTCGGTAAGCATCACCGAAAGTTATGGGTCTTTTTGCAAATTTTATTTTGGAGTTTGTGTTTTTCTTTATTATTGCCTTGGTTTCACCGATAATATATGGTTTAGAGATAGAAACAGTTTTTACTAACTTAGTCTTGAGGAGGAAGCATTTATCAAAGCAAGCATTGAAGATGCAAGAGAAGTCGCAGCAGCTCATGTTAGGGTTGTCGGAAGCATAGACAAAATCCAACTTAGCATTCATTAAATTGTTTTCAAAAAAGAGCATATTGTCGGCGCAGTAGTCTCTATATTTTATTTTTACTTTACTAGACCTTTCATATCTCGTGGCTGTTTTATACATGGCAAAAACTGGGAAGTGATATAAGATATTGTTATAAATAATTCGACTTGCAAGCTTGTTAGGACTGTTGTTAGTCCAGATATGATCTATCGCAGTGGCTGAGGTGGCAGTTACTCTGGTGGGTTTGGTTATTGTGTTAAAGAAGAGCTTAAAATGACAGTTAGAAAAAAGGTCTATTACTGAGGTGTCCGTCTCGGATTTTAGTAAATCAAGGTTGAAATCTCCTGTAATGTAGCAAAGTTTCCTCTCTGAGCTTATGGTAGAGATGAGCTCCGATTATTTATCAAGAAAGTTCTTTACATTAATGTGGGGTTTTCTGTAGATTATTCTTATTAGGATATTTCGCGTGTCGTTACGTACTTCAGTGAAAACACTCTCCATAAACTCCTCCTGAGATTAGTAACGAGAAGGACAGTTTATAACTGAGATTGGTAACGAGAAGAACACTTTATAACTGACATTGGGCAACGAGAAGAACACTTGATAATTGAGATTGGTAATGAGAAAAACAATTTATAACTAAGAATGGTAATAAGAAGGACTATTTACTTCTGAGATAGGCGATTTTGATTGAACTGTTAATAGATGTCATCTTAATATTGTGTAAGAAGAATTGTAGTTCAGGTAGTGACCGTCAAGACTCTGAACCTCTAAAAGGTACACGAGTTTTGACCAGGCTGAGCAGAATTATATGGAACATTTACTTGTCCCGGGGAAGTGACTTAAAATTTACTTGTCCTGGCAAATTTTTTGGGGTAAACCTGCTTATCCGGAGTTTTGTCATGGGAAAAGTTAAATAGACATCTTAAAACAGTAAATTTAGTCAAATTCTTTGCGCGTATCAACTCACACATCACTTGTGCCAATCTAAATGGTGTCAATGGTTCCCTTATCATGAGATGTCATAACTCCTGTCACCTCACCTCACACTTGCAGGGTGTGTAGGGAAATGGAGGCGGCACCGGTGATCACTACTACTGTCGGTAACATTTGTCATGTAAGGTCATAACTCTTGTCAACTCACGTCGACAGGCTCTGAGTTTGGTGGTTCGTTTGAAAGGAGACTTTGTGTAGAGGTAAATTAACTGCACTTGGTCACTAATCCTGGTAGACTGACGACTCCCTGGTTATACATGGACCCCCGTCCATGTATAACCAGGTGGGGCCTGCGTGACAAATTTCCGTCTAAGAATTTACCTATCCAAATATTGCAGTAGCTTATCCGCAACCATGTGCCGGGCACATGAATGTGAAAAATCACTTGCCCGGCCCATAGAGGCCTGCCGGACACGGCTAATGTGCGCTATCTGAGTTTGACCCTTTATCATGTAAGGATGGTGGGGCGGGGTGGGGCTGGAGTAAACAGTCATTCGGGGGGCGCTGGTGGGACGGTACTACTCTTGCCTCGCAAGCAAGATGTCACGGGTTCGATTCCCGGGCCGGCGGAAGTTGTGTGGACACTCTGCCTAGTCCCCTTGGTCCCTGTTCACCTAGCAGCAAAGTAGGTACCTGCTGTAAATCGGAAGTTGCGAATTTGTATTCAGGGACAAGACGTTGGAGCTTCCAATAACTTGCTTAGACATAAAACATTGACTCTTCAGGCTTCTACGCCCTTAACTCATGAGACATAAGGCAAGCATAACCTTAGCATGCTTCCCTGTTGGGCACTGTAAGCGCTTCTGTGCTTCACCTTACACATGTTGGCTGCTTCGGTACCGAATTACACTTGTCTCGTGAGGGGGTAAAGACGTTGTCTGCATCCCTGGAGCGTGAAATTGTCACTCCAAACGGGGAGTTTCGCCAGTAGAAAGAGGTCGGGGAAAGTGGGAGTCAAAAAACAAGCAAGTCCTGGGAAGTAAAATTAGTTACTCAGGACAAGGGGTAAAACAGGACCAGGGAAGGGTAGGTTTAAATGTATACTATACAAACAGTAGGAGCGTTATAAATAAAATAGACTTGCTGAGAGCGGTTGTATGTACCGAGAATGTAGACGTCATAGCAATCACCGAAACTTGGATGAATCTGACGAGCAAAATTTTTTTATCAGAGCACCACATAGAAGGGTACAATCTTTTTCACAAGGACAGGGAAGGTAGGAAGGGGGGAGGGGTCGCACTCTTCGTCAAGGATACATTAAAATGTTGTATCAATAATTCAATAAAGGGTGAAATAGGAACCGAGTCTGTTTGGGTAGAAATCACGGAAGGAAGAGAAAAACTAATTACTGGAGTGATTTACAGGCCCCCAAGTCTTGGGAAAGAAGCAGCTCAGCCTATACGGCAGGAAATGAGTAGGGCAGCAAAATATAACAACCTGTGCATTATGGGGGATTTCAACTTCAGAAATATTGACTGGGACAACATTGTAGGTGACTATGAATCTGAAGACTTCCTAGACGCAGTACAGGACAATTTTTTTGGAAACAACTAATTGCAGAACCTACTAGAGGTGACAATATATTAGACCTAGTATTAACAAATAAAGAAAATATTATCAGAGATATCACAGTAGGGGAAGAACTAGGTAACAGTGATCACAGAGAAATCAGGTTCACCCTAAATTGGGAAACAAAAAACAATGACAATATGGTCAGAGTCCCAAACTTTCGGTTGGTGGATTATCAGGGGTTAAGAAGGTACCTAGGTGAGGTCACCTGGGAACAGTCACGTCAGTCCCCAGTAGGAAGGGGTGAGGTCATAGATGACACAATAATTGATCATGACTCTAATATATTCACTAGAATACTACATAAAGCACAAGAACAAAATATACCATACAGAAAAATTAGGTCAAATAAGAATGAGCCAAGGTGGATGACCAGAAAACTTAAACATGACATAGGAATAAAGAAAGGAATATATAAGAAATTAAAGGGAGGGGAGGAGCAGCTCGGAAATAGGTATAACGAACGATCTAGGAATGTTAAGAAAAATGTAAGGAAAGCAAAGAGAGACTATGAAATCAAAATAGCAAGGGAATCCAAGGCTACTTCTTATCAGTTTTCACAGAAGAAATTCGCGATTAAATTCCAGAGGTGGAACTGATATTTAAGGGAAAGGAAGAAGAGAAATTAAAGAATATCAATATCAGAAAAGAGGATGTTCTTAAGAAGATAAATAAACTAAAGAAGACAAAATCCCCAGGGCCAGATGAAATTTTCCCTCGAGTCTTGAAAGAGTGTAGGGAACAGATTAGCGGACCAATCGTAAACTTATTTACAAAATCATGAGACACCGGAATTGTGCCAGACTTGTGAAAACAGGCAAATGTAGTACCCATATTCAAAAAGGGAGACAGAGCATCAGCGTCAAATTACCGGCCGATCAGTTTGACGACAGTAGTGGCGAAATTTCTTGAATCAATTATAGCAGACAGCATCCGATCGCATCTAGAGAAAAGCAAATTAATCTACGACTCTCAATATGGGTTTAAAAAGGGAAAATCTTGTCTAACAAATCTGCTGACGTTTTTTAGGAAAGTCTTCGAGGTAGTAGATAATGACGAAAATTACGATGTTATTTACTTAGACTTTAGCAAAGCATTTGACAGAGTACCGCATCAGAGGCTTCTGAGAAAAATTAAGGCTCATGGTATCGAGAGGAAAGTTTTAAATTGGAGAAAATCATGGCTCACCAATAGAACGCAGAGCGTCAGCGTAGATGGTGTTAAATCTGAGTGGGGCCGTGCAACCAGTGGGGTTCCCCAGGGGTCAGTACTAGGCCCACTCTTGTTCATAATCTACATAAACTATCTAGATACTGGGATGAGCAGTGACACAAGCAAGTTTGCGGATGACACCAAAATAGGGCGGCAGATTAATTCAGGGCAGGATGCAAATGCATTACAGGAGGATCTAAATAAACTGTAGGGGTAGTCTGAAAAATGGCAAATGAAATTCAACACCAGCAAGTGCAGTGTACTTAATATTGGAAGAACAAATACTGATAATGTATACAGCTTTAACAACATCAACCTAGAGAAGTCGACTTGTGAAAGAGACCTAGGGGTACTTGTAAGCCCGGACCTACGACCTAGAAAACAGTGCGTTAATGTTCGAAATAAGGCAAACAGAGTAATGGGTTTTATATCTAGAAGTGTAAGTAACAACAGTGCAGAGGTCTTATTGCAACTATATCTTGCGCTAGTCGGCCGCACCTCGATAATGCGGTTCAGTTCTGGTGCCCTTATTATAGAATGGATATCAATTCACTAGAGTCGGTGCAGCAAAGAATGACAAAAATGATTCCGGGACTTAGAATCCTTCCATATCAGGATAGGTTAAAGAAACTTAACTTGCATTCCCTAGAAAGACGAAGAGTGCGGGGAGATATGATAGAAGTATTTAAGTGGGTGAAAGGAATCAATAAAAGGGATATAGATAAAGTTCTTATTATATCCGAGCAGGTTAGGACTCGGAGCAACGAATTCAAGTTGGATAAGTTTAGGTTTAAGAGGGAGATAGGAAGAAACTGGTTCACAAATAGGATGGTGGACGAGTAGAACAAGCTTAGCAGCTTTGTAGTAAGTGCGGGAACTCTGGAAAGTTTTAAAAGGAGGCTAGATAGATTCATGGATGATAGAGAGTGGTAGTAACTCTCGACAGGAGTTGCCATGCACAGGCCAACCGGCCTATTGCAGACTCCTTATTTTCATATGTTCTTATATTCTTACATCCTGTGTAAGGTGAAGCACAGAAGCGTTTACAGCGCCCAACAGGGAAGCATGCTAAGTTCATGCTTGCCTTATGTCTCATGAGTTAAGGGCGTAGAAACCTGAATAGTCAAGGGCGTAGAAGCCTGAAGTCATTGGTTTTTATGTCATCAAATTATTGGAAGCTCCAACAACTTGTCCCTGAATACGAGTTCGCAACTTTCGATTTACAGTAGGTACCTACTTTGCTGCTAGGTGAACAGGGACCAAGGGGACTAGGAAGAGTGTCCAAACAACTACCACCGGCACGGGAATCGAACCCGTGACATCTTGCTTGCGAGGCAAGAGCGGTACAGCTTCTACCACCGGCGCCCCCCACTTCCTATATTGTTCTACAAGCAAAATATTTATTCCACGAAAAGTATATAAATACTGTAAATAATGAAAGACGAAGACAGTCATACGACTAAGAAGTGAACCCACCTTCAGGAGACTATGAATTCGCTCCCTGCTTTCATCCAGTTGATTGACCCTCATCCATGAGTTCTTGAGGAAGGTCGGCATAATGTGTATCAGCCACGGGTACAAGTCCAGGAGAGCTGCAGGTCCTTGTATGATATCGAAGTTTACAGAAACCATCTTAAAAAACTCCAGGATCTCCTTGTCGTCCACGCTATAACTGCGCGCTGAGGAACACGTCAGGGTGGCTGTGGTCAACGACCTCGTATAATACTACAATTAAAGTTTATTTAATTAGACATCATCTGATTTTTTAGGTACACTAGGAGAGGATTCCGTTCACTTATTAATAAACTTTAAAAAATTCTCGAGAATATATATATATATATATATATATATATATATATATATATATATATATATATATATATATATATATATATATATATATATATATATATATATATATATATATATATATATATATATATATGTTCTTGAAGGAGATTTCGGACGAATTTGAATAATCGATGTTACTTGAGATGGGTTAAGTTAGAGTAGGTTACCCTAACTTAACCTAGCCTACGCAGATCTTTTCATTTATTTAGTTTTTCTTCTTGAAAACATTCCTAAATTATTCTCCCAAAAAATCAACATCAATTAGGTTGAAATTGCTTTCAGGCAATCAACAAATTGGTGGAACCCCTCTGTGAGTGCAGCACCTCTCTACCTGGGTCCTGGGATCCTAAGAAAGTAGTGTGTCATATTTATCTCAATATTGAAAATGTACAAAAGCCTCTGACTGTCTCTTTTGGTTTACTCGTGATAAATAAAATGGCCTCAAAACATCCCTTGAGATTTTTATAACGAGACTCATTTCTTTATCCCCAGTCAGAAGGAAAATTGAATAACACACAGACATAGACAAATAAGAAGCAACAACTCCGTACTACAGGTGGGGGTTAATTATCATCAAAGATAACAGTGAAGATAATAATGGTTTTATTGACTTTTATCCACGAATCATAAAGTGAGATGTAAGCATGTCAGTGCAGGATATTACACTCGGCTGATATATAAATTGTGGAAAACAGTACGCCCCCCTTCATGAAACTGAGTCACGGGAATAGAATCTCGAAACTTACTTACCTTGTGCTGTTTTATCTCATTTGGGGATCGATACTGCTTAGGTTTGGGAGGGAGCGAACTTTTTTACCCCGACTGTACACGAAACAGATATTTAAGACTTCCCTCAGAAGTAAACAAACTGAGGCCACAGTGTCGGGGATGAACTATGAGTTATACAGGTGATTCAGTAAAGAGTACATTAAATTAAAGGATGAAATCCTTGGATAATTCTAAACCACAATTTCTCTATGGTAAATTGTCAGATTCTGCATAGTGTCCATGTTACAGTACATTTAAGATGTTGTTTTAATGAGAGAGAATTTGAAGTGAAACCCCCGTAGATTTTTGTAACCATTTGTTCACAGATCTCTACATTGTGACCCCTCTTTGTTACAACCGAAAGGAAATGTTCAAAGTTGCCCCCTTCTGCCTCAATGCAGGCCTGTACACGTCGTACCATTGATTGTCTGACACGTCCCAGAATGCCTGGACGATGTTTAATTTGCTCGCACCTGTCACGAACACGTGGACATATGCAGAATCTGACATTTTACCATAGAGACATTGTGGTTTAGAATTATCCAAGGATTTCATCCTCCAATTTAATGTACTCTTTGCTGAATCACCTGTATAAGTAAACCAACAATACTAAGCAGTAAATGGCCTTTGATAAATCAGGAAATTATTGTTCATATAAACACATACGTAACACTGATCTAGATACCCCGACCATAATGACAGTACTACTCACCCACCGCAACACCATTACTACCACAACACCAGTACCACCACAACACCATTGCTACCACAACACCAGTACCGCCACAACACTAGTACTACCACAACACCAGTACCAACCACAACACCAGTACCACCACAACACCAGTGCCACCACAACACCATTACTACCACAACACCAGTAACACCACAACACCATTGCTACCACAACACTAGTACCACCACAACACCAGTACCACCACAACACTAGTACCACCACAACACCAGTACCAACCACAACACCAGTACCACCACAACACCAGTGCCACCACAACACCAATACTACCGCAACACTGGTACCACAACACTAATACCACCACAACACCAGTACTACCACACCAGTACTACCACAACAACAGTACTACCATAACACCAGTACCACCACAACACCAGTACTACCACCAATGCTACCACACCAGTACTACCAAACACCAGTACTACCACAACACTAGTACCACCACAATACCATTACTACCACAACACCAGTACTACCACAACACCAATACTACCGGTACCACAACACCAGTACTACCACAACACCAGTACTACCACACCAGTACTACCACAACACCAGTACTACCACAACACCAGACTACCACCACACCAGTACCACACACCAGTGCTCTCTTGCCATTACACCAGTACTACCACAACCACCTAGTACCACAACACAGTACTCCTCACCTGTCATTACCACAACACTACAGTCATTACAGTACCACAACACCAGTAGCACCACAACAACAGTACTCCTCACCTGCCATTACACCAGTACTACCACAACACCAGTACTCCTCACCTGCCATTACACCAGTACTACCACAACACCAGTAGTACCACAACACAAGTACTCCTCACCTGCCATTACACCAGTACTACCACAACACCAGTAGCACCACAACAACAGTACTCCTCACTTGCCGTTACACCAGTACTACCACAACACCAGTAGCACCACAACAACAGTACTCCTCACCTGCCATTACACCAGCACTACCACAACACCAGTAGCACCACAACAACAGTACTCCTCACCTGCCATTACACCAGTACTACCACAACACCAGTACTCCTCACCTGCCATTACACCAGTACTACCACAACACCAGTAGTACCACAACACAAGTACTCCTCACCTGCCATTACACCAGTACTACCACAACACCAGTAGTACCACAACAGTATTCCTCACCTGCCGCAAGCTGCCAGGTAACGTTGAGAATCGCCATATTAATATTCCACGTGAGCTCAGTAGGTATGCCAACTGAGGCCTCAAGATCGTTCAGGAGGTTGAGGGCTTCCCGCTGGACAGACGATTCCAGCTTAGACTTGCCCATCCCGAAGTACTTTAGGTGCTGTAAAGCGAAACGTCTGTTCTGTTGCCACACATCTCCCACTGAAGAGATGATACCTGTGGAATAAAGAAAAGATAGATAAATAGAGAGAAAGAGAGAGAGAGAGAGAGAGAGAGATGGATGGATGGATGGATGTACGGACGGATGGATGGATGGATGGACGGATGGCGGATGGACGGATGGATGGATGGATGGACGGACGGACAGACGGACAGACAGATGGATGGATGGATGAACAGACAGACAGATGGATGGATGAATGGATGGATGAATGGATGATTGTATGGATGGATGGATGAACAGAAAGATAGAGGGATGGATGGATGGATGGATGAATGGACAGACGGACGGACGGACGGACGGACAGACAGACAGACGGACAGACAGACAGATAGACGGATGGATAGATGGACAGACAGACAGACAGACAGGTATATAGATAGATAAATATATAGACAAATAAACATAGAGATAGAAAGATAGATAGTTCAGACAGACAGACAGACAGGCGGATGGACGGACGGACGGATGGATAGAGAGACTTACCCGCATTCTTAAAATTTGTGAATATCTTAAGGGTGAAGAAGTCTGGTCGGCCCTGCAGTTCTGGCTTATTAAACGCCGTCTTTATCAGTTGGAAATCAGACAAGATTACTGCCATATGTTTCCCCATCTTCATCCTGCGGGGAGTTATACATCATCCTAGCAGATTGATAATTCCTAGAGTACTCAATAAATCATCCTGCGGAGTGGTATAACCTAGTATACTCATATATCATCCTAACAGAGTGATATTTCTTAGCATACTCATATATCATCCTAACCTGGGGAAGTGATATATCATCTTGGAGGAGTGATAAATCAACCAAAGGAAAAGTTGAATATCAAGTAGGTGTTATTTTGATCTATTAACCATCAGTTATGTTGGACTATTAAACATTTAGTATATTAAACATTCTTCCAAATGCACCAAACCAAAACACAAGACAAGATTTGACCATTACAGTCAGATACCGGTAAGCTAACTGATAATGACGGAGAAATGGGCAATAATGTAGACAGATATTTTTCATCAGTCTTCACAACAGAAAATTTAAACATGACACCCGAGGCACCGACTATATACATAGATAATGAAGAAATAGATTAAGCGAGATATTAGTGACCTGTAACCATGTTAGTAAACAACTAGATAAACTAAAACCTATTAAGTCGCCAGATCCCAATAAGATATTTGACAGAGTATTAAAGAAATGAAGGAAGGACTTAGTATGCCCTTAGCAAACTTGTGACAGCGATTTTCAAGAAAGGAGATAGATCAATATCCTGTATCTACCGTCCAATCAGTTTAACATTAATGGTAGGCAAATTCTGGAAGCAATAATTTCAAACTCAATTCGAAATCACCTCGAAAAACACAAGTTAATCAATGATTCCCAGCATGGCTTCACAAGTGGGCGGTCTTCTCTGACAAATCTATTATCATTCTCTTCAACTGTTTTCGAATTAGCTTATGACGGACACGATTATGATGTGGTTTACCTCGACTTTAGCATAGCCTTCGACAGAGTCCCCAACGAAAGACATATTCGTAAAGTGAAGGCTCATGGATAAGGGCATGGTTACGTGAAGAGAAACAATCAGCATTAATGGCACTAAATCTGACTGGGGTAACGTCACTAGTGGAGTACCCCAAGGCTCAGTACTTGGACCACTACTATTTATTAAATAAATAAACGACATAGATATAAGCGTAGACAGCAATATAAGAGAGTAAAGGGCGATATGATCGAAGTGTATAAATGGAAATTTCGATTAAACAGAGGTGATATAACAAAGGTAATTAAACTGTCCAACCAGAACCTTGGTCATTGCAATGTTCTTAAATTAGACAAATTTAGATTGAGGCGCCAGATAGGTAACCACTTGTTTGGAAATAGAATAGTGGATGAGTGGAACAAGTTACAGAACATCATCGTTAACTCTAACTCGGTGGGTAGATTAAAATATAGGTTGGACGGATATATGAGCGATAGGGGTTGGGTGTATACTGACTTGCCTAATATGGGCCAATAGGCCCGCTCCAGTTTCCTTCATTCTTATGGTTTATATTCTTATCTGTTATTTTGGTCTATTTTACATCAGTTATTTTGGTATATTTTTCATCTATTATTTTGGTCTATTGAACATCAGTTATTTTGGTCTATTGAACATCAGTTATTTGGGTATATTAAAGATACGTTATTTTGGTCTATTAATTAAACATTTGTTATTTGGGTATTTTAAACATCTGTTATTTTGGTCATTAAACATCTGTTATGTTGGTATATTAAATATCTGATAATTTATTACATTAAACATCTGTTATTATAGTAAATTAAACATCTGTTATTTTGGCCTATTAAACATGTTATTTTGGTCAATTGCACATCAGTAATTTTGTTTTATTAAACATCTACACTGTCATAATTACGTGAATATGTCTCCAAATTTCTTCCTGAGAGTGTTGAGATGTTGAGCGAGAGGAACATCCCGCGGTGGTACATAGCCCACTATAGGCCAGCCCCACACACCTGTACACCAATACAGTAATACAGTGATACAGTACATTATACAGTACTATTAACACAACAATAATGCATTTGAAAATACAGTGACACAATTCACTATTTATAAGACAATGAACTAATACATTAAAATATCAACCTATAGTTATGTAGTAATGGTAGAATACAATAATACAGTAATGCATCAAGAAACTATTGTAGCAATGATATAATGAATCTATACGAGAATACAACAATAATACACTACTACAACAATTGATTACCTTAAACTCAGATGACCAGATCACACACACTCATACATACTATACATAAACACGAACAAACAAATATCTAGTGTACATACACACTCATAATAACATACATACATTCATACATACTGTACATACATACATACATACATACATACATACATACATACATATATGCATACATACATACATACATACATGCATGCATGCATACATACATACATACATACATGCATACTTAAATATACACACACAGACACACATACACACACACACAAACATACACACACACACACACACACACACACACACACACAAACATAAAAACGAAAAGTATTTTTAGAGGTTCATTAAAAAATTAGCATATTACTCTCTTCATTAACAGCAAGTCAACCCCCTTCGAGTAACTACAAAATTTTCATTACGGATTATTATACACACTCTCACGTGTGTATGTAATATATATAATATGTATTGTATAATGATTAGAGAACAAAATATGGCTAAGGAGGAAAACCAAAAGCACATATTGTAGTTAGGACTGAACTGCTAATCCCCGACCGGCGCTGATCGCCAGGCAGGCCGTACTACCCATACTGGATGTAATGCCCAAAATTATGCACTGGGAAAGCTTTTATGGCCAGTCAATAATATGGATGGGAAACTTAATGAGTTGTAAACTTCACTGAAAAATAGGTTGGTATTAAATAACTGTTATTAGGTATAGGTTAGAGTGCAAATGAAAGCAACATCTATGCCTGGCAACGGGTAACCATACCAGGTAGGGCAGCGAGGTTAGATTTAAGTGAAATCCTTCCCTGCTTAGTATAGGTATAGTCACTTTTTTCTTTCTTTTTTACAGGGATTAGCCCACCCGGGCACAGGTCACTGACCCACATCGGGGCCTGGGGGGCGAAAATGTAATAATAATAATAATAATAATAATAATATTAATAATAATAATAATAATAATAATAATAATAATAATAATAATAATAATAATAATAATAATAATAATAATAATAATAATAATAATAATAATAATAATAATAATAATAATAATAATAATAATTAATATTAGATAAATTTTATGATAAAAATACATTTAAAATAAAATAATAAAATAATGATAATAACAACAATAATAATAATAACACTGTAATAATAATAATAATAATAATAATAATAATAATAATAATAATAATAATAATAATAATAATAATAATAATAATAATAATAATAAGTGAGAAACAATTTAAGTATATCGTATTGTCAAAGTAAGAGAAACAATTGAGACCCTGTAATTGTGTGTAAATGAGACAGAAAGTCAGATCAGCAACCTGGGATTTAGTCACAATTTTTGTGAGTCATATGGCAGCAGGGTCTACCATTAGACAATGCATTATGCTTCCAATATTTTCTGAGGCGGTAGTACCTCCTTGTTTGGTAGCTACCTACTACCTACTACCTACTAAAGGTGTTGCTCTAGGAAGTTTCATTTTAATGACTTTACAAACAAGTTTTCATTGAAGTTATTGTAATGTGACTCGGTCCTTACCAGCTTCCTCACCAAATCTCATCAAATATAGTGCTGTCATTTGAAAGACGTTTACCAAAACAAAAATAGATGCTAGCCAATCCATTGGGTAATTAATGCATACCTTCCTTCCTAACTATACACGTCACTGCTTGCATAGGCTGCCCTCAGCCTGTTTGAATGAATTAGGAATATTGAAAAGTTTTGCATATATGGCAACTTACATTCTCAGTGTTTATTTACATCATACAGTAACCTTGGAGAATGATCGAGAATAAGTTAAAACTGAGTCTAGCCATGGCCGGCTACTGGCTAACATATACACCACTGTAGACTGTCATGTTTACAAGTCTATTGTTTCTTAAAAATAAGACAATCACATTACACCTCGTAGCAGAATCTTTGTGTAATTTGACAATTCTATGGATTAAGCATATCTTTTAATTTCCTTGTCATACTTGGTTATCCAGCCAATGTCACGGATATTCATTAAACAAATATCAGTAATTCCCTGTAATTAGGCTCTGCCACGCTTAATTACTTAAAATACAGGTTAATGCCTATCGACTGCACAAGGGTCATTAAGGCAAACAAAACTCCCGCCACACCCCAGGTGGGAGAGGTAGCAGTGCTACATGGCCTCTGATGTCTAGAGCGGTGGATTAATTTCCATTTTTCCCTGTAATTAGGGCAGGCGAAGGCGACACAGATATCGAAACAAACGTTGCAGAAAATTTGAATATTGTTGGGCATTATCACGAGTTTAGTGTGAATATGGTTTGTGTGAGGATCTGTTCTGGTGACAGTGGTTGCACAAGCAAGAATGACGAAATATTACCTCACAGCCAGTATGAGTGAATCATGGTATTAAGCGACAGGTTAACTTATTATATCCTACTAAATAAAAAAAAAATCAAATCATGCTACCCACACTATTTATCTGGCTCACCTCCACTACTACCATCTTCACCCCTCCCCCCCCCACCAGCCATTCACCCTCTTCTCCCACCGGCCCCCGATCCCCCACTCAACATCACGAGCGAATGCTTCAAACGCGGGTTCATATTGTCATGGTTCATAACTCTCTGAATCGATCGTTGGCAACGCTGACTGTTGCAGGTGGAAGTGTGGGAGGCTGTACAAGACACCGGTCTGGCTTGGATGTTATACATATAATTCTCTCTTACCTGGGGGAAAGCCTGAGGGTCTTTGGGTCACTTTATACAGCAGCGCCAGCAGTAGGATCACAAGGACGGCTACCAGCATCCTGGGAAGGTCTCCTGCAGCGGCGCCTTCAGCTGCTGAGGAGGAGGAGGGTCATTAAACCTGGTCCAGTGTAACTAAAGTCCCCCATACAGCCTCCTCCCAGCCTCCATATAGCCTCATACAACCACCATACAGCCTCCATACAGCTTTCATACAGCCTCCTTACAGCCTCCATACAGCATCCATACAGCTTCTATACAGCCTACACCTCCATACAACTACCACACACCCTCCAGCTAGCCTATATACACCCTCCATAATCCCTCCACACAGCCTCCAAACAGCCTCCATACAGCCTCCATACACCCTCCATCCAACCTCCATACAGCCACCACACAGTTTCCATACAATCTCCATACAGCCTCCACACAGCCTCCATACAGCCTCCACACAGCCTCCACACAGCCTCCATACAGCCTCCAGTACAGCCTCCCTCCATACAGCCTCCATAGAGCAGCTCCATACAGCCTTCATACAGCCTCCATACAGCCTCCATACAGCGTCCATATAGCCTCCATACAGCCTCCATAAAATCTCCATACAGCCTCCATAGAGTTTCCATAAAATCTCCATACAGCGTCCATACAGCCTCCATACAGCCTCCATAAAATTTCCATACAGCCTCCATACAGCCTCCATACACTCTCCATACAGCCTCCACACAGCCTCCACACAGCCTCCATACAGCTTCCATACAATCTTCATACAGCCTCCATACAACTTCCATACAATCTTCATACAGCCTCCATACAACTTCCATACAATCTTCATACAGCCTCCATACTATAATGAGGTTAAATCTCATATGAAGAGGTAAGGTAAGAATTTATAGTAATAGGGTTGTAGAGTGTGGAAAGTTGTAGCGTGACTCGAGGGTGTAAAGATATTTTGATATATATTAACATAGACTCAGTACAAGTGTATTACATAAAACAAAAATGCGTGTTACAGCTTTATTTTACTAGTTCAACGGAGGGGAGAGATTAATGAGGGTTCGTACACAATATATAGTAAATTATGGTATATTCCTATTACCTAACAAGTAAAATGGACACTTCCACTATGTCAATCGTTGGGGAGGTTGAGGATCACTGCACTACTACCGTCTACACAGCCAGCACTTTCTTTGACACAATGAGTAGATAGCACAGCGTCGATGGATTGAGCCGAGACGTCGTTGCACTTATTGGGGGACTTCTTCGATGTAGCTGGTGAGACGACGAGCGGGACTGGCCCCTTCACGGTTACAATGATGCCTGGAAGGAACTGAAGGCCCCTTATATTGAAGGTCTCAGGCCGGCAGATGTCCTCTCTTAATTAATACTAATCTGGATGTGTCTAGACAGGCTTGTTTGTTCAGGTATCAGAAGTACTGGCTGGATAGCAGTTCTTTTAGTTGATAATCTATCTATCCTTTCACTTCGCCGAAATGTTGTTTCACCCTCTCTCATTTACAGGTACTTTAACGGGCAATGTTTGGTGGATTTGGCATCCTGTGTACCGCCGGCAAGGCCGTGGACTCGTATCACTCGTCATGCCCAAGGTGCCCACCATTTCTCTGTGGATGTCGGTCACACAAGAATAACCCGTTTAGTACATCCTTCTTCCCTCACACAACCAAACTGGGGAATGCTTTGCCATCTTCTGTTTCCATACCCATACAATCTGTCTCACTTCAAAAAGCTGGTTTTCGTGTATCTGTCGGTACATGGTGTACTATTCCCCATAAAAAAAAAAATAAATAAAACAGCTTCCATACAGCATCCATAGAGCTTTCATACAGCCTCCATACAGCCTCCACCCAGCTTCCATACAGCCTCCACCCAGCTTCCATACAGCCTCAATACACATTACCTACAACCTTCATACAGCCTCAATAAAAGTTCCATACAGACTCCATATAACCTCCATACAGACTCCATACAGCTTCCATACAGCTTCCATAAAAACTAAATACAAGATTTCACCCAGCCTCCAACCAGCCTCCATACAGCCTCCATACAGCCTCCATACAACCTGCATACAGATTCCAAACAGTTTCCATACATCCTCCAAACAGCCTCCATACAGTTCTATACAACCTTCATACAGCCTTAATACAGTCTTCATGCAACATTTCTAAGGGTCCATACAGCCTCCAGACAGACTCCAAACAGGCTTCATACAGCTCCCATACAGACTCCATACAGCTTCCATACAATCACCATACAGCCTCCATACAGCCTCCATGCAGATTCCATACGGCCTCCATAGAGTCTTCGTATAGCCTACATACAGCTTCCATACAATCTCCATACAACCTCCATGCAACCTCCATACAACCTCCATACATCCTCCATACAACTTCCATACAGCCTCCATACAACTTCCATACAATCACGATACATCCTCCACACAGCTTCCATACAGCCTCCATACAGCTTCCATGCAGCCTCCATACAACCTCCATATAGCTTCCATACAGCCTCCACCCAGCCTCCACCCAACCTCCATACAGCCTCCATACAGCCTCCATACAGCCTCCACACAGCTTCCACTCAGCCTCCATACAGCTTCCATACAGCCTCCACAGCCTCCATACAGCCTCCATATGGCCTCCCACAGCCTCCACCCAGCCTCCATGCAGCCTCCACAACCTCCATATAGCTTCCTTACAGCCTCCACCCTGCCTCCACCCAACCTCCACAGCCTCCATACAGCTTCGATACAATCTACATACAGTCCATACAGCTTCCATACAGCCTCCATACAGCCTCCACACAGCTTCCATACAGCCTCCATACAACCTCCACCCAGCCTCCATACAGCTTCCCATGTTTCATACAACCTAAATTAAGCCTCCATACAGCCTCCATACAACCTCCATATAGCTTCCTTTACAGCCTCCAGCCTCCAGCCTCCACCCAGCCTCCATACAGCTTTCATACAGCCTCCATACAGCCTCTATACAAACTATATAGAGCCTCAACTCAGCCGCCATACAGCCTCCATACATGTTCCCACAACCTCCATTAAGCCTCATACAGTCTCCCACAGCCTCCACCCAGCCTCCATGCAGCCTCCATACAACCTCCATAGCCCACAGCCTCCACCCAGCCTCCACCCAACCGCCACCCAGCCTCCATACAGCTCCATACAGCCTCCATACAGCCTCCTACAGCCTACAGCCTCCCAGCCTCCTCCCAGCCTCCACCTCCTCTATAAAGCTTCCACAGCCTCCACAGCTTCTACACAGCTTCCATACAGCCTCCACACAGCTTCCATACAGCCTCCACACAGCTTCCATACAGCCTCCACACAGCTTCCATACAGCCTCCACACAGCGTCCACATAGATTCCTTACTGCCTGCACCCATTCTCCACCCAGTCTCCAGACAGCCTCCATACTGCCTCCACCCAGCCTCCATACGGCTTCCATACAGCCTCCATACAGCTTCCATACAATCTCCCTCCATACAATCTCCATACAGCCTCCACTCAACCTTCACCCAGCCTCCATACAACCTCCATACAGGCTCCATCTATACTTCATACAGCATCCATATTACCGCCACCCATCCTCCATACAGACTCCATACAATTTCCACTCAGCCTTCATACAACCTCCATACATCTTCCATACAGCCTCCATACAGCCTCCACCCAATCTCCATACAGACTCCATACAGCCTCTATACAGGTTCCATCTATCCTTCATACAGCCTCCATGCTGCGTCCACCCATCCCCCATATATCCCCCATACATTCCCCATACAGTTTTTGGTAACCTCGAACAAAATACTAAATTCCTTGGGGTTATTGTTGATGAGAAACTTAGCTGGAGAAACCACAAACAAGCCATTCACAGTAAATTCAATAAACAGTTCATTATCATGTATCACACTCATCAGTCACTCACTCTCACAGCAATGAAAGAAATCTATTATGATCTTGTGTTCCCAACACCTGAAACACTGTCATACACTATGGGGGGCCTCTGGCTCTTCAAAAACATAACCCCTGGTTACTGCACAAAAGAGAGTTGTGCGGACAATGACTAACTTGAAGAAACTGATCACACAAACAAACAATTTGATAATTGAAAATTTTAAAATTCGAGGATATTAACACCGACTGCTGCGCCCTATTTGTTTAGAAATATGTCAATCATCTTCACAATAATAATTTCAAGCTTCGAAATAATTAGAGATACAACTTAAGGCACCCAGAGCTACTAAGACCACCCCTCATGCGTTCCTCTCAGTCCCAGACCTCAATAAAATATCATGGTGTGAAGGTGTGGAACAACTTACCCCCACCCATTAGAGCAAAGACTACGCCCCCTTCCTTTAAATCATCTCTTAAAAATATCTATTGTCTAAGTATTAATATTTTTTGGAATACCTACTTTATATTCCTGCTTTTATTGTACCACCAAAACCGTTTTAGCAGAAATTATCATGTAAATAGATAGAAATTACCGTTGCAATGAATATATTTGCCAACTAGACATAATACTGACAGCTCTGTCCTCTTGGTCCACCTTAATGCAACCCATGCAGTACTGCTTCCCTCCCTTATCATATTTATGGATATCAACTCCACTGTAAAGTATGTATATATATTTATAAAATAAATGTACAAAAAATCAATAAAAAATACAATAAAATTAATAAAATAAATAAATATCGAAGTGATACCCGTGGTAACATTCTTATATGTTCTTAATACCACCATGCTACGTGTAGTATTCCAGATGATACTAAATGTTACATAATACTTCCTTGAGATAAGTGTACAGTATATATCAGGTGCCTACAAGAGAGCTCAGGCTCTCAACTGTCTCAGCCATGCTATATAAACTGCTTCAATAACAATATACAGATTCCATACATTCTCCACTCAGACTCCTTACAACCTCAATACAACCACCATACAGGCTCCATACAGCCTCCATACTGCTTCCACTCAGCCTCCATATAGCCTCCATACAGCCTCATTACATCCTCCATACAGTCACCATACAATTACCATTGCAGACTCCACCCACCATCCA